GGATTTATGGCCAGCTGTAGATCCTGTCTAGTCACAGGTCCAGTCCCTGTTTTCATCCAGAAGTAGTAATTTTACCGAGAGGTAGTGTAGCTGCAGCATGAAGTGGTTGATCGTGAACATCCATGAAAGATGCCATGAGCCTTAGAGGCTGCATTCAAGGAGAAAGGCAGATTCTCTATGACATTTGAGAGCTGAGCAGAGGTGACTTCAGATCAAAAATAAATGAAAGTTTAACTGTTTTATTGGTGACCAAAAGACTGCTGTTGTGCAGTGAAACATTAACAACAGGGTGAGAGCGAGCCAGGATTGCTCAACGAGGTTCATCTTCAGGCGCAACAGACCTGGAGTCGTCCAACGCGCAGGAAGCAGCAGGCATGGCGGAGGGGGATGGCATGCTGCAGGCTGCAAAGGAAGCCCAAGTTGGTGAGAAAATTTTTTCAAGATTTATTTTTGCTAATCATAGAAGAAACTGAAGGCAAAAAGGCATCAGTTTCTCTGATTATTACAGGTTGACTAGTGACCAGATGACAGGCTTTTAAATACAGGTTATGTACTTGATGTTGTTACTGGTATAATCTAAATACCTTTACAATTTTGAGTCTGTAAGGGCTAGTAAGTAGAGCAGAGATGCGGGTCTGAAGACTTCTGGCATATTTTGCTGGTTCAAGTGATTTGATACATCATTTTCTTATTATTTTGAAGATTGACACAAATCCACAGGCAATGGAAACCAGTCTTCTGTAATCAAAGAATTGGAGAAAATAAGCCAGAAGAGACCTGGAGAGGTTATCTTGTCCATCTAGGGCCAGGTCATTAAGCCCAAAGTGTTGCAGGCACACATTCATCTAGCTTCTTATAACCTTACCTGGGAAAGAGAGAAAGAGGAGAGAAACACAGATATGGTAAAAGGGCTATAAAAATATGACCAGTGTGTATGAATTTGAAAATAAGACTCATTATTAAGAGACCAGTGTGGCTGAGCTGAAAATCAAGAAGGGATTGTACCACAAGATGAATGCAGATAAAAATGAAGAGATCAATTGAGTATAAACAGATTAATGTGCACAGTACTGCAGTGGGAAGCAGTGAGAATCTGAGGATTGTAAATGCAAAAGGAAAATGCAGATTGTCTTCCTGTGGATTTGAGAACCAGAAAAAATTAAATGATGGACTGAAAGTCATAGAAAAATGTATTCATGGGAACTTCTGGCTATGCAAGGCATCTGGTAGTTAAATATTACATTTAAGCATGAATCATCCTGCAGATTCCCCACTTGCATAAAGGATAACTCAGAAAAGAGGAGATTTTACAGAAAACAGCCCTTGCTTTCATGCTTACTAGTTGAAGTTGTTTAGCACATGATTTTCACAGAAATTCAGGAGGGCACTTCATCCATCTGCCTGCTCTGAGATGGGACCTGATATTTAGCCAGTCCCTAATATGTTCTTATATAACAAAAATTAGGGATTGCCTGAACTGTGCAGCCCCAGCCACGCCAGCTCTGTTGCAGTGCTCACCTGTCTTTGCAGAAAGGGAATATGGCCAAAAGCAGCCCGAATCTTTTTTACTGAGAATAAAGTCAGTTGTTTTTCTCGTCTTACCCTCAATGAAAATGCAGAGTAGTTGGTCTCTGTGGCTGCTTTTCCTGTCAGTGGGTGAGGGTAGCATTTGTTTGGTAATCTTCTTCCCTGAATTTAATCTTTTTCATTCCAGAGCCACAAAGTAGTTTAACCCATTTGGCAACAGCATTTTGAATTCATACCCTGTTCTCTCCCAGGCTTGCTCCATCCTGGTTTCGGACACAAATATGAGCAGCACACTGGCTGTGTTGTTTTCTTTGCTCATGGAGAGGCTGAGGACCTGCACATTTCCTACCCTCCTAACCTAATGAAAAATCATTGATAGCTGCTCTGAGAGGGATTTCCCTGTTGCCCATCATATGGGTATTTCGCCTGGACCCTCTTTTACTTGTGAAGCGTCAGAGGCACTGGAGTTAAGACAGATCACATCCACAGCTGCTCTAGCTGTTACACCACTTGCCTTGTCACCAAAGAGTACAACAGTCTGGTCTGAGAGCATTTTTACCAATCCAAAATGGCTATCTTGTAACCCTTATTCTCCTTTTGGTGCTCCGAAGGGATTATCTGATCAAGTATCTCTCAGGCTATGGAGGAACACGACTGAATTGTCCTAACCTGCCTTTTTAAAGGCTGTGGTGATGTCCTGCTTCTGCCCTTCGCAAGGGAAGTTGTTCAATACTATATTTAGCACTCAAAGGTGTGCTCGAACTTCATCAGGCTCTAATGATTTGAGCACGTTTGAGGTATCCAAATATTCTTTAAGCGTTTTTTGTCTCATTTCACCCACATTTCTGCTGGTTCATTTTAATGGTGTTACGTATCTTGTTGCAATTTAGTTTTTTTAGTGAAAACAAACAAAAAGGACACAACTTTTCTGGCTTCTCTGGATGAGTTTTTGTTTGCTCGTTTTCTAGTTTAAGTAACAGACTTTCATTTTCCTTCTCCTTCCTCCAACATTGACAGCATTTCTAACACCTTTTCTTATTGCCTTTTGTGTCCCCCTGCTAGCTGTAATTCATTTTGTGCCTTAGCTTTGCAGCCTCTATCACTCCATGCTTGATCTGTTTGTGTATACTTGTCTTCAGAAATGCCACCTTATTTCCATTTGTGGTACAATTCCTTCCTGATTTTCAGCCCAGCCGCACAGGTCTCCTTCTATTGAGTCTTATTTTGAATTCATTGGTATCTGAGGTGTTTGCAGATTTATTCTCTTTAACTTGTTCTTGCTGTTTGCCATGAGTTACCGTTTATTACCAGACATTTGAATTCCTTTTTGCCCGTTCTGTCTCGGAAAACCTTCTGGTAGCTAATGGCCTAAACATTTCTGCAGTGTATTTGACAAGTAATATGTTAATCCCACTGACTGATATGTTTTTTCATGCTAGTATTAAAAACCAAAATCATTTAGCTTATGTGACGCACGGGGCTGTGTAAACACACTCAGAAAATATAGCTGCAGGATGCTGAAAATATTAAGGCATCACATTGCAGCAGCGTGGGAGCCCTGCTCAAGGGATGGTGAAACCTTTTCTGTCTTCCTTTTGTTTTACTCCTTTAATAACTTTGCTGCTGTGTTTGCTTTGCTCACCTGTGCAAGGCAGAATACAACAGGCTTCTACTGGAAGTTGTCTAGAGATACTTAGGGCAGTAAGAGATACCACCAGAGGGCACAGAAATATTCATGCTGCCTTGAACACAGGGTCAGACTTGCAGGACTCAAGAGTACGTGCTAACCTGGTGTGCAAGAGACAGGACCAACATGCTCCAGTCTGTTCCTTGCACTTCCCCCAGTGCTGGGTGTGCTTTTGAGTCACTCTTGCCCGTGAAATGGGCTTAACAAACCGCAGCTCTGTGGAGGCTGTTTGTGGCACCCGAGAAGCGTGACCCGGGTGAAAAGCAAGGTTGCGTGGGTCTGCAAATCACTGGGAGGGCTGAAGATGAGGAGCTGGTCTGTGCCAGTACGGAGGAGATCCCAAACTGCTGTAAAGAAAAAGGAAATAAGAAAAAAGGGTAGGCCTTCCTGGCCTCGTCTGAAGTTTGTGCTGTTGGCCCCATGTTTAGCTGCTCAGTTAGCAGGAGTGAAATGGAATTTCTGGGAATCGTCAGGAGAAGCAAAGCTAGTGCACATGAGGGAATCTGGGGAGTAATTATACTTACTCTGTGCACTGTCACATCTGAGTCCCTTTTCTAAACATTCTCCACGTCTTATTAGCAATAACTGAAGCCAAATTAAGGATCTGTGGTGTAGGCAAAGGTCTCTTTCCTGGTTTGTCAACTGCAGACGTGGTTCCTGTGATACCCAAACACTAGCAGCAACTCGGTACTGGAGCTAGGGATAAGTTTTTGGAGATTCCTTGTACCAATTGCAGATTCTGGGTATGATCTGGACTTTTGCTCATAAGAGAAGGGAGAAATATTTGGGAAAATTCTTTGAACATTTGCCTTTTAAGGAAGTTAAATGTAAGGGGAAGAAAAAACCACCTTCACTGTGCTGAGAATATGGCAGAGCCACAGCCACTGAGAATGGTTTATGGAAAGACTGCTAATTTTGCTCTGTAATTGAAACTGGTACTGGAAGAATATGATGACGAGCTCCTCTGTTCCCGTGGGAAGGGCATGTAAGGAGGGGCAACAGGGTACCTGCAGGGAGCTAAGCCCACGTAGCAGCAGGGGGAATCCAGGACTCTCAGCACAGCATGGGATGCGTTTGCCACATAGGGAACCTTTGGATAATAAGAAGTAGATAAAGGCCATAAAAGTGGCCTTTTGGATAATAAGTAGAGATGGGGTTTGTGGCTGCTCCTGGGTGCTGGCTGTGCCCTCCGTATTGAACTGTCCCAAGGTCATTCCAGGGAATTGGTGTGGGAATGAACTCTGGGTTGCTTCACTCCTGGGATAGCAAAGAAATGATTTAACACAGAGCAGGCATCCGTGACATCCAGTGTCTGAGGGTTGGGCATGATGAGCATTTTAGTAGTTATGACTTGGGATGAATGTGTGGCTCTTCGGTGGAATGAGATCCCTGCAGAATAAACCTGTCATTATCGCATCAGGAGGGAGATGCACACTCTGCTCCTAAATCCACAGGCTGTAGGGGTATGTGGGAACTGGGATTTTTATTCAGCTCACATCTGTTCAGCATACAGTGCTGTGCTGGGCTGGTGCACGTACAATAGCTGGGGGCATGCCAAGCAAATAGGAGGTCCGTGCCACGAAGCACCGACAGCCCCAACCTGTGAATGATTTAGGCTTTGTTCCCTGACTCTTCTTGAACTTTGGCGTTGTCTTTCCTGGTAGCATCTCCCTCCCTTTTCTGCCCTGGCTGCACAAATGTGCTCAATTAGGGTTAACTCAAACTGAATCAAACTTCATGCCTGAGGTTGGAAATCTTCCCAGTCAACTCACCACAGCCACATAGCATGGTGGGAGACAAGGCGAGAGGGGAGATGAACGCTTTTCAGAGAAACGAATCCAAGGAAACTTTGTTCACTTTTATTTCTGCAGGAGATGATCCTCCCAAAGGAGATTTCCCTGTTCAGAAAAAATCCCCGGTGAGTGTTACAGCTGGTTTCCTTTTCTTTGTTTTCTGCTCAGCTTGCTCTAAACATTGCAAGATCTCTCTGTTCTTTCCTCTGTTGTGCTCTGGCTAGAGACAAACACTCTTTCTTGCAGAGGGTTGAAATAAGCGTTAACAACTCAAGGCAAAAATCCCTCCAGTAACCTGATTAAGTTACGAAAGGGCAGCTTAAAGGGAAAAAACTGTCTGAATGTTTGGGGAAAAGGGTAAGAGTTTTGATTGCTGCCTTTTTCCTAAACGTTACTTTCCCTGTGGAAAAGGACTGACTTCTCTGAAGTGGAGGGGGATGTCGTGCATGGGAGGGAAGGAGGGAGCTGACCTGTACGTGTGCTTAATTTGATGAAACCCACCAGGGAAGGGCCCCCAGATGCTGCAAAGCAGAAGGAAGGACAGGGATTGAGGACAGGCCGCTGGTGTGTATTACAGAGCCTGACTGTAGTGCCGGAGCCTCAGGTTTGCATCTTTGCTTCTGATTTGAAGCCAGATTCAGGTGAATATTTTGTTGCCTTGCAGCTTTGAAGTTTGTGCAGTTTTCAGGCTAATTCTGGTTGAGTGCTTGACCCCTAAAAACTACATTGTATTGACTTTGGAGAGAACAGGGCTTGTGTTGCACCTGCCTTCACTTGCAGGATGGTAATACTGGTAATGGTAATATTTGCTTCTAAAGCCCGCCATCAGTCATGTCATTAGCAAGCCAACTATTTAACTCACAGTTTTAAGTACTGTGCAGACATTAACTATTGGATATCCAGAGCTCCAGTGAAATACTAATCTTAGTCCCGTTTTGCAGCTAGTCAGCAAGAAGGAGAGGTGAAAACAAACATCTCCTGTAGCTGGCACTTTAAACGACCTTTCTTTTTTCCAAAGACACAGACTATCAACTTCCACAGTATCTTTAAGAGCGCCATAATCCTGCAGATCCCAGGCTTACAGTGGTAGCTAAGCACAGCAGACTGTCTGTGCGTTCATGAATCCAGGCTTAGCCTCTTTGCTTTTGCTGGGGCTCTCTGCTGAGCAACGTCCTCCTCCGCGAAAACGAGAAAACTGCATCTGGCTCTCCGCATGGATGAAAGCTGCCCACTTTTGGATGTCCAGGCAGGCCACAGGCAGGTCAGTGATACAGCAGAGAGAATACATGAGGGTTTCTGCGTGTGCCGATGCCATCTCATGACATGCCAGCCAGATAGAAGTACCCCTGCTTGTAAGTTGTTGCTCTGCGTTTGTAAGCACTTACTCAGGGTGCTGGCTCAGGTGCTTAGTGAGGCTTAGCTGGAAATCACCACCTTCCACTCTCCTGTCCCTGCGTGCCCCTCCTCATCTGTAGGAAGTGCCCATCCCAGAGCAAGAGTGACTGAAATGGGTCACTGCCAGGTTTTCTGTCACTGGAGGCTGCAGTGTGGTACCTTAAACTGCTGCAGCTAAACCCAGCAGGGCTTGTGCACCGAGTGCAGAGGGGTGAGTTTAGGCAGCAGTTCTCAACACCTGGCCATCTGGGTTGGAACAGTCACGCTCTGCATCTCCATCAAATGTTATTAAATCTCATGAGTACTGATAGCGAAGTCTGTGAAAGAGGAAGAAAAATATCCCTGTTATACAATTTTACTTCCAAGTTCAGAAAATGCCTTCAAGCACTCACGGGAAACATAATTTGCCTCTTATGGTTTTTCTTCTTTATTACAAAAATCTTGTTGGAGAAAGGTATTCTATGTGTGCATATGTCTGCATGTTTGTGCATTTACAGCTTATATATGCCACCATTTTTAGACTAGTCTAAAAGCAGGAGGCCCCAGTGCAGTTTCCAAGGGAGCCCACTCTGTCTTACAAGCCATATGCTGACCATGATGGTTTCAGAGTAAATAATACATGAAATGGATAATTACATATTTACTCTAGTAAAGCAAAGAGGCCAAGGGTTTCTTAATAAAGGCAGCCCATAAATAGAGAGAGAGAAAAAAACATATAAAAAAGGACAAAAATATTTGTCTGTAGAGATTCTGGGTTAAATAATGGAAAGCATTTTGTGGGTTGGGTTTTTTGTTTGGTTGTTTTTTTTTCTCGTCAGACAGCCAGTCTTGTCTCTTTTGTCGCTCTTGTATAATGTTGAGCAAGACAGCATCATTAAGCTAGACTCTTCCAAACTTGATGCCATTGCTTTGGGAATCCAAATAAGCTCAGGTCTTGTGGTGGTGAAATAAACCTGAATAAACACATCTATTTTCGTATCTGTATTTGCATTTGGGGCTCTGGGAAGAAACACAAGAATTCATTATTTCCAGCTTGAGGCACAGAAATGCATGTGAAGAGTTCATCTCACTTCACTGGCCCACACCGTGGCTGTTTAAAACCACAAATATAAATGCAGCTGTTAATATCACACTCCCTCCCCCAACCCTCACCAAGTGCATGGCCAGCCTCTCTCCCACTAATTAGCAGAGGCTGGGCAGTGCTGTGAAAACCTGCTTTCCCTGTTGCGAGGCAGTGGAGCTAAGCAGCTGGAAGCTGCTTAGCTCGGACCGCGGTAGGGTAGCAAGAGGGACGGAGGCCCACGCAAGGTCATGCCAAGACTCATCTGTTTAAATGTCTTGTATTTCACTTGGGAACTGCTGATTTTAGCTGAAGTAAAGCCAGATTCAGTGAAAGAGTGGCCATGCTCAGATCCGACAGTCCCACTGCTGTTTTGCTTAGTTTTGATTGATAAATTTAGTTATCCATAGCTATTCCAGCATTCTTGGAATAAGAAATTGATGCCATGCCTGAGGGAGTGCTGGACACAGGGCTGACACTCTGCTTCAGTGGCCACAGTGGTCCGGTTCGGTGCAAGTGAGGTGCAGAGATTGAGGGCAGTTGTCGCGCAGGAGGGAGCGGCTTCACACAGAAGCAGACAGCAGCTCCCTGGGGTCTACCAACTGCTGAGGCAAGGTCTGCTACTAGGAGAGGGAGCAGGTGGGGGCAGGGGAGTAGCTTTATGTGGAGGGTAGGAGAAAAGGCATCCAAAGGTGGTTTTGCATCTCAGTGGGTTTTTACATTGCAGTGGAGAGACAGTAGGACACTTTCACTGGAGTTCCTGTAGTTATGAGCATGGTGGGCTGCTGACAGCCCATGAATCCCCATGGTGTTCCTTACTGGGCTTGCATCACCAGGCTGATTCACTGGGGAGCCTTACCCAAAGCAAGATAGGTGTGGGGTCCCCTCCCTCCTTTGAGTCCAACTCACAGGCCAATCAAGCAGCAGTGGGCCCCATGTTTTTTGACTGAACTACTTTTCACCACCCAGGCACTGTGGGGATATGTTACTGGGGTGAAGGCTTTCACAGAGCTGATGCATTCTTGTCTGTCTCCCGCAGAAACTCTGTGGCTCCAATTACCCCCTAAGCATTGCCTTCATCGTGGTGAACGAGTTCTGTGAGCGCTTCTCCTACTATGGCATGAGAGGTATGTAACTTGTGTCTGGGAAATGACTTTCCTGTCCTTGGGTTTCTGTACACACTGGCCTGATGCTCCAGGGCTGTGCTGTATGTGGTCTCAGCTGCCTTTCAAAGTAAATTATTATTTTGGGATGCAGGTATGAATGGTGTGCCCTAACATTGATGCTACACCTGCTCTGAGCAGAAGTTGGGACTAGAGAGCTTCAAATATACCTTCCAGTCTAAATTTTTATAGGATTCTCTGTCTCAAACCTGGTTTTCCAGTGTGTGATGTCTTTCATGGTTGTGTGCAATCAGCATGTTTGGGAATTGAATCATATAGGCACCTAATTTGCAAATAGAAAATGTGCATAAACAGAACTACAGGTTGTGGTAAGATAAGCTAGAAAATATATTTTCCAGCTAAATATAAATGTTTATGAGCAAAGAACACCTGATACTTATATATCTCATTTTCCTATTTCAGGGATTATGAGGAGCAGGTCTGAAAGCACAGATCATTCCACAACAGTGCTCATAGCTGCTAGACAAATCAGTGGTTTTCTTGCTACCGTGATGTAGCTTCCTGCTTACCTGCAGAGATACACATTAATTATCTGATGTGATTTACTTGTTTTCCTTTTAGCTGTCCTGACACTATATTTCTTAAGCTTCTTCCACTGGGATGAGAATCTCTCCACTGCTGTGTACCATGCCTTTTCTGCGCTCTGTTATTTCACACCTGTCATTGGAGCCATCATGGCAGACTCATGGCTTGGGAAGTACAAGTAAGTGAAGACATGTCTCTAACTCAGGCAGCATACATCTACACCATGCAGCCTGTGCAAGCGTAGTGCTGTGTGTGCTCCTAGTTTTAATCTAGCTCAGGGTGCAGCAAAGGCACGCTTGCGAAGGTCAGCTCCTCTCTATTAGTGGATGAACAGCTGATCTGTTTGCTCTTGCTATTCTGTGCTCCTCTTTCACCCAAAGGCCAATAGGCAGCAAAGTTGGAACAAATTAAATGTCACAAGCACACTTTTCCTCCACTGTCCTGCCCTACCCACCTTGAGGAAGCTGTGGTGTAGGGTGATTAACCCTCAGCTTGCCAAGATCTGCTTCTGAGAAGGATTTGAAGATGGTAAGGAAGCAGTGTCATCCTCTAGATCTCACAGTTTCAGATGAGATGTCACTAGCTATACTATACTGACTTACACTTTCACAGCATAGGGAATGTGTGAGCTCACCCATTTTTATGTCAGAGAAACCTGGATTCACTCAAATAATCTCTCTCAGCACATAACAAGGTAAACTCTCCCTGAGTGATTAGGCAGTCTTCTCTTCCACTGATAAGTTGTGGGGCCATCATCTGCCCCAGAGTGGTGGTGAGCAGGAGGATATAGGACTTTCAACACTGTCCATTGTTTGAGGAGTCTTGACTGTCAGAGTGATGATGTGCAGCCGAACCCTTCTCTCTAGGACTAAGCACATCTGACAGAAGAGTCTCAATAGAAAAAAAAACAGCTGCTATATGCCTTTCCAGCAGAAATTCTTAAGGAGATATCAATTTTCTTTTTTCATCTGACAGAAGAGTCTCAATAGAAAAAAAACAGCTGCTATGTGCCTTTCCAGCAGAAAGTTCTTAAGGAGATATCAATTTTCTTTTTCCTTTGTGGTCAACTTTAGTCATTCACTTGTCCCTTACAATGAAAAAAATATCAGTGATGGTTTATTAATTTTGTTATTTAAGGTCACCTAGCAATATCCATTGGTATTTGAGGATATCTGTCTTTCAGCATGATGTTGTGAGAAGGTAAATCCTTATGCAGACTTTTGCACGTTAGGCAGGAAACTTCCCTGGAGTAATCCCTGTGACTTAATGGGGGGTGGCTTTTGCTGTAGTAGATGGATCTCAGCCGATACTGAGGACAGGATAACAGATTAGAGGGGCTTTTAGAAATTATCGGATGTGGCTCTAAATTAGCTATTGCAACCAGGGTTTGAATAAATTGAGGACTGCTTCCATACTCAAAGCTCCTAGGGCTTCTTCTAGTGCCTCTGTCCTAACAAGTCCTTCCATTCCCTCTGTGTGTGTCTACTCTGCACATAAATACATAGACATGTCTTAATCATGAGGATGATGAAGGAATAGAATATACACAAGAGCCTGATCCTCCTAGTCAGATTTCTTCTGCTCCCTCACCAAGACATGGGAGGCAGATAGATGAGCTCAGTCCTTCAGAGGTACTTGGGATCTAAACCAGACTTGTAATGGGGAAACCACACTCCTAATTCAGATGTGTTAGTCAGGTGGATTGAATGTGGGCAATGGTCTCTATCGATGCCTTCCAGTCAAGGGATTCACTTAAGCGCAGCTACAAAATACCAGTTATTAGTAATCTGGAAACTGAATTGGACTCATAGTACTCTTCTATTTGCAGTCTTCCATGCATGACAAGACTGGAAAGTTTTTAGTTTATTCTGCTCAGCAACCTCTGCAAAGAAAGCAGGGGCTATCCCTCCTTAATCCGAACTCATTTGCCTATCTCTTTCTTCCAGTGCACTCGGTGTTGAAACAACAGAGTTATAGCTGCCTGCTATACCAGTGGTATGAGCAAACCAGTTCCTTATGTGTCTGCCAAGTAGACCTGCCGTATCAGGAAGCACAGGCGCAGTCTGTTTTTGGATCGTACATCACCCAGCACCTTCAGTCACTGCTATTTGCTTTCCTCGCAGGACGATCATCTACCTCTCCATTGTGTATGTGGTTGGCCACCTGATAAAGTCAGTCGGTGCAATTCCATCCCTAGGCAACCAGGCAGTTCATGTGTAAGTAGCTGTTGAAACTGCAGTGCTGTAGTAGGTTATGATGGTAGCTGGTTTACTCGGGAATGTAATTTGTTTCACCTCCATCAGGCCAACAGTTTGGGGGCTGTGCATGGGTTGCTTTTATCAGGGAAGGGTTTGGGATATTTGAGTAAGAACAGGAGGGCGGATCTAGAGTGTGAATGCACCAGAAGGAATTGGAATTCACCACAGAGACTCTAAGCCTTTTATCCTAAACCCTTACCCGTATCCTCAGATGTGAACCTCTGATCACCACTCTGCTATACCATGCCACTGCAGTTTTGTCTCCTCCTTCCAACTGCCTGCACCAGGCTCATTCCTTCCTCATTTCCTCGTCAGCATAGCTGCTTAGCTCAGCAAAGTTCACCCGTGTGCATGAAAACACAAAACCAAAGATACATTTTCTGATGTGTCCCTTCCATAGGGTACAACCCTTATTGCCCTCTAGATTCTGAACTGATAGGCTTATCACAGTAGTTCCCCAGCTGGCGTCTCCAAAACCACCAAGCTCTTTTTGCCTAGATGGTCACAGCTCTAAAAATATGCACATGCAAGCAGGAGCATATCTCATTTACAGAACAGTTTCCTTTTGTCCCAGACCTGGCCAGTCCTGACACTCCTGTTCCCTACAGAAGTAATCTGTCGGGCCAACAATGGTATTTTGAGGAGCGCTAGGAGGTAGAAAGCATCCAAGAATGAGCCTAATTCAAAAGTTTGTCTATGCTTACCCAGGTGGGAAGGCTACAGGAAAAGGCTTCTCTTTTTTTTTTTTTTTTTTTTTCTTTTTTTCCCCTTGCTTTTCTCAGTTGATCTCTGCAATCTTTTGTTCTCATATGAGCGAAAAACAATCCCACAGATCTTTGATCTGCAGTATGTCCTTTGGGCCTCAGAACAGCAAGAAACTGACAAAACTGGTTTGGCTAATTGACCGATACTGAATGCAGAAATGAGGATAATTGATTTGTTTTTTGCACTTATCTGGCTCATCATCACTACCCATGTGCAAAAGGCAATGATACCAGAGGAATCATGGTTGAGTGACACTAAAATGCTCTCATAAGCACTGGAAAGGTTCTGCAATGGTGATATTTTTGTTCTTGCATGAAGGATCCTGTCTATGGTTGGTCTGTTTTTGATCGCCCTTGGAACGGGAGGTATCAAGCCCTGTGTCTCTGCATTTGGTGGGGACCAGTTTGAAGAGGAACATGTAAGATTTCTTTTCTTTCCTAAAATCTGCAGTATCTGTTTACTTTATGAGGATGTTTGTGTGAATAAATCCTGTTGTACTAGAATAAGGGCCAGTTTTCTAGGAAAAGATATATTAAGATGTGAGGTAAGATGGTTTGCATAAGACTTGAGAGAATCTGCTTGCTTCAGGAAAGCAAAATGACAGCAGAACAGACTGACACTGGGAAGGACAGGTCATAATTGCATCAAATCATCTAAATGTTAATTGGATGTCGAAGTAGTTGGAAGAGCCTGTATCATGTATCATGGAACTGTAGCCATTTCTGGACCATCTTAATAGACGTGATTATAGTGCACTGCAACGGAATACAGCAAATGAAAGAGAAAATTGTATTATCAGCCTATGCTTCCTTGGGAATTTTCCCTCTAAGCAGCCATAGTCTGTGTCTTAGATGTTGTCCAGAAAGAACTGTAGGAAATTCCAGTCTTCCAACAGTAGTGCTGGTACTGGAATGTTTTCTAGGTATTCCAGAATGGAAAGTTCTGAAGAGTTGGGAAAATCTTTCCTTTTAGTTCTATTTGTGCTCTGCGTCCTGTGAATTGTAGTCCAGTTGCATCATGTCCTCATTCTCCATCATGAGTGCTTAGCCCCTCGCCTGCATTAATTGCAAACTCCCATTATGCAGCACAGTGGCTTAACAAATGATAACATAATGCTTAAAGAAGCAAAGCAGGTCAAGAAGTACTAATCCTCAGCCAAAAAGCATAATTGTCAAATTGACCTGAAATTAAACACTTACATTTATGTTAACCTAACACACAAGTAAAGATTTCAGTTTTCTCAATGACGGTATTCAAATCAGCACCTTCTGTGCATGGCATGAGTCCTCAAATATGTAGAAGACTGCTGCTACAAGAAAGAAAATAAATGATGAGCAGGCTTAAATTCAAGAAGAATTATTTAGGATTGACAGTAGGAAAAATTTTCCAGAAATAGATTCTAGAGAAGTACTGGAAAAGACTAGGACCTTTGAGAGATGGAAATTCCCATCAATGGGGGCATTGAAGAAGGACAGTAGACTAATGGTCTGCCAAGAAAGGAGCTGGTAGAGTTGGACAAGAGATGGAAGCCCCATAGGACAGTTTGCTGTTTGTCTTTTGCAATGCCCCAACATGTAGTCAGCATTTATTGAATAGATAATATAGACTTAGAATGCTTATTTTAAAATTTTGGGAAGACTTGTGCTTTCTGCACATAAACTTTGTGATGCTGAAGTGATGAATCTTCTGATTATTAAGGAGTAACAAAACCCAGGATGTTTCGTGGTCACTTTTTCAAAGCAGATCCTTCTGCAGGCATGTCCATCCTATGCCGTCAGTTGGACTTGGTGCTTTAGCGGATGCTGCAGAAGAGGGAGCAGCAAGCATTTTGCAGTCACCAGCCTCACCAGTTGGCACAACTCTGACTAAAAGCAGGCTGGCAGTGCAGCACACATGCTCTGGGAATACACCATGTGCATACCACCATGTGGGCATCCCAGCTTGCAGCACCAAGAGTTGTCCCAAAAGGATTGTAACAGGTGTTACAGCAGCATTTTCAGAAGTGCTACTTCTATGAATATTAATGACTAATAATGTTTATCCAGCATCTTTCAATTACCACCTAATTACAGTATGATAATATGTACCACTTATCTTCAGCGCATTTTATAGACTCCAGCTAATGAATCTCAGCATCCCAGTCAGGTACATACATATTATTATCCCAAACTTACAACCGCAACTGAGTTACAGGTTAAAAATTGGATTGCCTGTGGTTGTGTGGGACTGTGCCCATTCTCCAGCATTCAGACTACACCTCTCCCAACAAATTTATCAAATACTAAGGCTCAAACATTCACCTGTGTGTTGCCTTCAAGAAAAACTAATTTAGAGAAAGAAAACCGTAAAAAGCCTTCTGATAAAGACAATGCTTTCTGCTCTATTCGTTCCCTTCAGAATAGAAAGTTTTGTATTTTACCGTTTTGAAATGACTTGGCCTTTCAGAAGTAAAAAAGGTTTTATGCTATGTGATAGGAAATTTAAGTCTTCAAAATCAGAATGAGAAGTTTTGAATTTGTAAGGAATGAAAGGTTTGGGGCCAACCAGAATATTTCTCTCCTCGGAGTGGTGTTTCAGAGGACTTATCATGTTTTCCCTCTTCCACTCCAGGTAGGATGAAATAAGTTTTGAAATTAAGCATTCAATTCGCCGCTTAGTTTTCAGGACACCAATAAACTTCATCTGAGCCCTTAAGTGCACAGACTTAGTTGTTTCATCTGAAAACTAGGGATGTGGTAGTTCTGTATATAAAATGAGTAAATAAATTGCCCCTGCTATTCTCACGTAGAGACGAATGTATGTTTTGAGGGTTTGGTCTGGTTGGAGCAAAACATACCAGACCAAAACCATTGGTCTGGTTTTCTTTTAAGTACTTTATGAGTGTAATAGTCTTGGATCTGCTGCTTTGAGAACAGAAC